TTCTTGTATCTGTCACGGCCTGGTAAGGCGTCTCCACGGAGTTGATGAGGACAGCGAGATTGTAGTAAACATCCGCGTTGACGATGTTCCTGGTCGCGGTGTTCAAATCGAACCGAACTTGTTGCCTTTCTTGTTCCAGTTCGACCACAGCCAGCTTTGCATCATCACGGATCACTTCCGCATCCACCATAAACCTTGTGATGGCATGGAACTTCCCTCCGTAATCAGCAACAACGTGCTTGAGGCCTCCACCAAATTTGATGACCATGGCGAGGATCTCCCCATAGGGTTTGTTCATGTACTCCTCCGGGGCGGCAAATAAGCAAGCCTTGAGGATCTCTCGAACTCGAATGGAAAGGTCCCCTCCTGACGACAGATTTGCGCAAGTGAACAGCAAGACCAGCGGTGGTGCTTTGAATGCTGCCCACGTGCGGATGAGATCATTGTCGACCACTTTGTCTTTTGTAATCTTTGGCGGGAGCGGTACGCTCTGCGACGAATCCTCAGAGTACATCTGCAGAAACGTGTGGAACTTCATGAACGTCCGCATCATCCCACCAGGTGGGAAAACTTCTTCATGGGCCACTCCTTCGAAGGACAGTTCATAGGCATTGTGGCTTTCTTCCTTGGCTCGGGACCCGGTCCTTCCTCCGCGGGAGAGAAGTACCTACCCCTATACGACTTCACGGTTCCAGGTACTCTGTAAGAGACACCCTTCCCCGATCCGTCAGGTCAGACCTTAATTGTTCCTTAGTCGGGGCTGTCTAATAGCCCCTCCATCAGCGTCTACACACTGACGTTGCTGCCATGCAATGTCCTCAGATTCATGTGCGTTGCGACTGAGACTAGCATGAGCTCGAACAAGGCTGCGAACATTCTTCGCAATTGACCGCCATGACGCCTCAATGCACTGCGACAAGCTGTTCCCCGTTTCATGGTCCAAGCATCCAGATAATTTCACCATCAAACGATCCGCCTCAGGCATGTTAGAGAACATGATCCTGCGTCCACCACCATCGCCACCAGCACCAACATGATCATCAATCTTAACCTTCGTCACCTTGCCACTTGAAACAAGAGCATGCAACTCTGGCCAAGACCAACATGAACATGAAGAAGGCATGTCAAGCGAAAAATAGACGTCGGAAAATTCCGCACACTTCTTCAGCAGGCGTTTGAGAGATTTCAAGACACTTCTGAAAACCTTGTACTTCCCACCGGAACGTTTCTCACCCCCCACGCAAGTCCCTTCGCTACCTCCAGGACTGGCACCTGATCGCAAAAGCGATGCCACAAACAGCACAGGTGTGCGCAGGTCATTCCGGCACGACTTCTTCATTGCGCCGATAAGGCTATCCTCGTCGGCATTGGAGCCAATCAGCTCTTTACATGTAATGCGAGCGCATCCCTTAGTGGACTTGGACACGGCGTAGCCATTGCCCATGCCACAAAGGTCAACAATTATGCGGTCAGGCTTTCGTCCTTCAGCCTTCGACGGCATTGCAACCAATTTCCCATCGCCCGTTGCCTGAAATTTCAAGGTCTTAAGCAATCTCCTGGAAATTTGACTGGTTAACTCGCAATTATCAGATCGATCCTTAGCGTCCGCATCGGTCATGTGCACATGTTTGGCTGAGCACATGTCAGACGACTTAGGATGCAACGCGACGTTTGCGGCAAAGTATTCCCATTCATCCTTGCAGTAGCCGAGCTCAACGGCGGTTCCGGGAGATACAGGATCTCGAAAGATATAACGTTGCCCGTGAGTACATCCTTGGATCTTGATGCTCTTCCACACGGCGTCTTCCTGAAGTCCCTTGTACTGCTTGGTTTCTTGAACTGGTACTCGAGGAGGCACCTCAATGATGACTTGGTTTCCCCACGATGCCGCTCTGCGCGCAATTCTTTGGACGACCTCCCCCCATGGGTAGTCCGTCCGCAATTTGGCCCTTTCAGGGTTGTTGGCAATTTTCCGACTCAGCCACGAATTCTTGCCTAACACCCCTGCACCGATGAAGGCCAAGGTTTGCCAAAGCCTACAAAGCTCGAGACAATTGCCGGAGGACCCTCCAAAGAGTGGGAGGCATGGTGCAGGCACTACCGAAAGGCATACGGTGCTCTGCTTGGCAACTTCGGCTACACGCCCGCCAAGAATATCAAGGGTATCGTATACGATGAAGAAAATACGACGGATATCATTGGCGCGCCTGTTTGGAGCCCAGCCGATGCTCTTGTGGCTGTCTCGATTCACGGGATCAGAACGGTCACGACCATGGCCTCCACGATTGCATTTGGGGGTGCTCCGCCAACGATCAAACCGGCGGTACCCAGCAAGCCGCAGAGATTCGTTGTCATGCACGATGGCCTGCTAACCTTCAGATCTGCCAAACCCTGGCACGATGGTGAGATGAACACCCATCTGAAGAACGCGCTGGCAAGCTTTGGATTCCCTGAGTCCGAAGTTCGAGTGCAGGCGTTTGATGAGAGCGAAAAGCTCAAGGAGATGGTAGATACGCTCGAACTGATGCGGAGCGACCCATCTGTCCCGCTATCGAACGTGCACATCCTCATCCTCTGGAAAGGAGATGAGTTGTGGAAAATGGACCAGGGCTGGAATAAGCTGACTGGTGACATCGATACGGCACGATCACAATATGCCAAGTTGACCGCCCGGGATGCCCTTGAGAAGTATAACACGATCTACGGATCGGTGTCCCTTTGCGGACCAGTGTCACCGAGCATGGGTTACCTTCCGACTCTTCCTGGCCCTCTCTTCGAGAAATACAGAGAGGAGATGAGGTCGATCTGGGACGAAATCAGGAGGTCCAACTTCCTCTCCCTGTCGTTTGACGCTATCCTGGAAGGACTACCATACCTGAAAGGATATCACATCATGCATGAGTCCAAAACGATTGGGGTCCTGTGTACCCGTATCTGCTCGATGTTCACACTTGCGGCTCTCGCACGATTTCCGTCTTACGCTACCCGACGGGAGTATCAGATTGCCCACGATAAAATGTGGGCGCGCACTCCAGTCCCGGAAGAAAGGTCGACGGGCACGGTGAAGGCCATTGTGCACTCCACAGTGCAGGACCTTATCGAAGGGGCAGATCGCGGCGCCGATCATCGAGCCGCAAAGACCGTTGACATGAGTCAGCTTGGCTTCGATGACGACGATGATGAAGAGATGGCTGACGATGCAGGTCCGGCTGCTCCCGAGAATCCGATCAAACAGGAACAGGCGACTTTGGCTGATCTGCCGGGTGTTCGTCATCCGGATCCGATTGAGCTGCCCACTACTCCTGTGCCTGGCCAGGCAATGCCAGTGTCGCCCGGCCTTGCTCCGGCTGCTACGAACGATGAAGAGTCTAGCAACAGCTCCGATGACGCCGGACAGCAAGGGGATGGCGATGCAGCGATGCCCGAGGTCAAGAAGGAGGAATCCGATGAGGAGTTCAATGAGCTTCTCGAAGGAATGACTGAAGCATTCGGGAAATTGCCTACTCCCCGGGATGCAGAGCGAACAGTCGCAGCCAATCGGGAAGCTGCACGACCGCCTGCCGTGCCGACGATCCCTCTATCTACGATGAAGAAGCCAAAGCCGATCGGTGGTGTGGAAGCCGCGGGACCCACTGCCGAGAGTCGCCAAGGTTATGCGCACTTCGAGAGCCAAGTCAGTGAAGTTGAGGCTCGCCGTGAACAGGCTGCGAAGATGAAGGCGCATATCGCGGAAGTGGCGAAGGGCGCCACAGGAGTTGAGAATGCCGAACACCTTCGATCCATTGCCGATGGGCTAGCCAAGATCATGGATCCGAACATGAGCGATGACAATGTGTTCCAGGGTGCCATGTATCCTCCGGGTGACTATGCGCTTGACGCCGTCACGAACCGGTTGGCCCAAGGCAGGCGTCGGGTCGAGTCGAACAGCAATCTCATCAGGGAGATGGCCAGCGACCGATTTACGCCTGTGCTCATCAACCGAGATACTGGTGAGACCGTGTCCGCCATTGATGCACGGTGGACCCCGGAGTATGGAAACAGGGGGGAGCTTGAAGCCAAGCCTGGTGCGATTATCTCCAACCTGGATGCAGTGGTTGCAAGCATGTCAACCCTCCCTGTGTTCCATCCGCACATTCCCTCGACGTACGGTATGGCCCGATCGCTTCTCAACACATACCAGTCATTGCAGATTGCCATCCGACACCGTGGCATGGGTGCGATGTCTTTTGAACAGATGGTGTTCAAGCCGGAGGACCTTGAGGTTCCGACTCCCGATGACTGGCCGGACCTCATTGCGCCTACCCCTGGAAAAGTCATTCAGTCCATGCGGGTGGCCCTGGTGAATAACACAGCGGCGAGGTTGACGAGAGAGGACCTCAAGCTGCCACCGGGCTTCGCCATGCAGCGACGAGTGACTGAGTTCCGTAAGCCGGAGGAAGATCCGGTGCAGAGCCTAATGGGGCTCACCGATGACTTGAGCTACGGCACTACCGGTCGATCTGGGGATGACAGGTTGTCCCAGTTCCAGCGCAGTGTTGCAGTACAGCTGCGGAACACTGCAGGATTCATTGCGAGTGAGTTCCAGAAGCATGCCCGATCTATTGCCGCTTCCTCCTCGCGTCGCAGTGATGCCTCAGGTGCCCTGAGTAGTCAGGGTGAAGGCGCGGCGGACAACGATCTTCCGTCCACCGAACAGGTTAGTGTCACATCGGAGCGCGCGACTACGCCGCCTCCGCCAAACGTGGCTCCTCCTCCTCCGCCTACAGCGGCAGCACCTCCGAGGGCGTCCGAAGAGAGTGCAAAGGAGGATGACGATGATACCAAAATGGATGATGACACGGCCGATCAGAAGCCTGAGCAGAAACCCGAGGAGGACGTGGATATGGGTAGTTAGCAGGAAGGAGCTGCAAGACGAGGTCCCCGGCAAGGCCCCGCCGCCAGCTGCCCGAACCGCTGAGAACCCTCCGGAACACGGCGTGCGTTCCAGTTCTCCGAATGTCATGGTTGCTCAGGGAGCCGTGCTCTCCGGTGCTCGAGGGCCGGATATCGACATTGACCCGGCCAGTACCACAGCCGATCAGGCGGCAAATGATCCGAGAAACTTCCGGATCGAGGGGCCTGGTATCAAGGCGACAACGATTCATCGCCCTGACCAGATGCCTGAAAGGGGTATTGACTCCATTGCGCCGATCGTGCAGTATGAAATGACGTCCGTCCCGATTGCACTGACGGACTTCGTCATCCCGGGACTCAACATGGGCATCGATGATTCCGTCCATGGTCGACTGGTCTCCGCGACCTGTCTCCCACCGACTGACGAACAGCGCAAGTATTCGAGGCGCCGATTCGCTATGCTATCCTCGACTCAGACGGTGTACTTGAACGTGGCACTTCACAAGAAACCGGTCAAAGGAGATCACGATTCTTTCCTCCGACCGGAGTCTTACGAGGATTGCCGCGAGATTAATGACGCTGTCCGGGCATACAATGCTAAGGAGGCAAAGTTCCGATCTGTCGGCGGAACATCCGTGTCATGCAGCCGATTGTTGATTGACGACGCACAAAACATCCCTGCCGCCAGGATTCCGGACGCAGGAATGATCAATTCGGTGCGGAAACTGATGTTCCGAGTGCTGACGCAAACGAAGGAGTACCCTTCCGCTACTGCCGTGAGAGCGCAGAATCGCCCCCAGGATCAAGAAAGGGGCATTCCCTTGTATTCACACTTCGACCAGAGTGGCATCATCGCTTTCGGTGTCATTCCGATGTACATGGAGCGTGAGAGGGAATACATGAAGGCCAACGCCGGAGAAAACGATGGCCGAATTCTTCTCCAGACAAATATTCTGGATGATCACGGTGAACCGACCGAGCTTACTACCCAATGCATCATGGAGATCGCTCGGAAGGACAACAACCGAATGTTTGAGTTCTTCTACTCGACGATCGAAAACGATGGAAGTCCTCAATTTGTTGGCATCCGAGCCACCTACGGTTTCGGCCCTGATAATTTCAGCCGATTCCGACTGCTGACCAAGTGTCAGCACGGGCCATTTATTCAGCTCGCTCAGGACCATTATGTCGGTGGCGAGAGGAAAAGAAATGTGGCCCGATACCATCCTCAGTACGGATGGGGATGCGCAACGATTCGCGAATTCTTCGGGTACATGAGCGATTGCAAGATCAATCCTCCGAAAGGACGGCTGTTCCTCACTCTGCTCCCGTATGCTCCCGGATCTGGGCACAACAATGAGTGGGAAGAGGTGTACATGAACGTCCGAATGAACCCGGGGCGTGAGACGCTTTCGAACACCGCGTCATCACAATCCATGCTCCCTGAAGGGATGGGATCCAACCGCATGATCGTGTTTGCGATTGATTTGCACATGATTGCGGCGGGAATCAATCCGATTGTATTCCACCCGAGGGGATATTATGCGGTCAAAGACAGTATCCCTCTCGCCTGTATGCCCATTGCATACTTCATGGACACGGGATCCCTAGTGTTCAACACGGCCTTCAAATACACTGGAGGTCCGAAGTTTGGCACTGGCCCCAAGAGAGGAGACCACAAACGAGAAACGTGGCCACTCGCTAGTTTTGACTGCCCCATGTGCGGAGCATCATTCCCGGTAGGTCTCCACATGTGCCACTCTTGCACCAAGCCGATTCACTATCCTGATGGGATGTTCTACGCCGATCCTGTGAACCCCTTTCAGGTCGAGTACTATGGAAGTCATGCCGAGTGGCTCAACGAGCTCATCGAGCGAAACGAGCTTAAGGAATTCCGACTTCACGAGTACCCTGCGATCAAGCAGCTGAGGAATTTCCCGGTGTCTAGGTCCCTCGCTGAGGACCACAGGCAAACCGCATTCTTCGGGGTGCCACCGATCAAATGCACTGCAGCTGATACATCGCCGAAAGAAGTGGAATGGTTCAAGAAGAGCGTGCGCGGAACGATTCAAGGCGCCATTCGATTGGACATTTCCATTGAGAGGCTTGTTGCCGGTATCACTGGCAAGGAAGCTCGGTGCGGTGTGGAAGAGTTCCTCAACTCGCAATCGATCGCCTGTGCAATCACGATAGTCAAGCACTTCGGAGCGGTCTTCGCCACATGCCGCGAAAAGCCGCTGTGCTACTATGCACGATGGTCGATTCACTGTCAACGCGCATACCGAGTCTGCCTGTCGCGCGGCTATCTCTCCCCCTTTTACACAGGGGGGACGATCGATTATACCGTCGATTCAGACATGGTCGAGAAAATCCGGCTTGCGCATCTGCGATTGCAGAACGCCAATCTGGCGATGAGACGGCAAATTCGACTTTCCACCGAGTTTGGAACATTGGATGAGTTCCGCGCCACTATCACGGATACGCAGAAGTATCAGCGATACATGCGTGTCGATAGTGAAAGCCTTTCCACGCTCCTGGCCAAGGTTACCCTTACAACGTGCTACGGCATTCCGATGAAAGGTGAACCTGGCTACATCTCCGACGATGAAGCAGAGGAGATCGAAGGAACTGCAGCGGCAACTGAGAAGCCCAAAGGGAAAGGCAAAGGGGAAGAAGAACCCGACGTCCAAGCCATCAACTGGCGTGATTTGGACCCTTTGGAGCGGAAGTTCATCCCGCACCATACTGATCCCCGATTCACGATTATCGCTGAGGGGAATACGGCACTCCTTGATGCCCCTGAAACGCCTGATGAGACGCGTAAGGAATTCAAGGAGTTCATTCGCGATCACTCTGCCAAGATAAAGGAATGGTTCGACGATGATCGCGCGACTGAGAAGACGTTCTTCACTCTTGTTGAAGGCGTAAAGGATCAGCTCCCCGATACTAAGAGAAGACCCTGTTCTTATGAAAAAGAACGAAGATGTCTTCGAGGCTCTACCCGATGAGCCTCAAGGACTGTTTAACGTCGCAGCTCGGCAGGCACGACGGCGTGATGATACGCCTCAGCGCAGAGTGCAGGCCACCGAGCAACGGCAAGCGTCGATTCCCGAGGCTCATGCCGTCCCCGTTCCTCCGGATGACGAGGACGAGGATGATGCTGAGCTAGAACGGGCGATCCGACCCGGACCGACGTCACAACGCACTGGACGAGAGCATCTCGGAGGTGTCGCTCCTGAGACGACTCCGCCCCCGCCTCGCGAGATGCCGCCTCCATCAAATCCACCGAGTCGGAAGATGTCGAGGCAATCGGGCTACAATGTTCCCCACGCTGAAGGGGAGACACTGATGGTCTCAGGAAGGGCACCCTACTCCGATCAAATGGGTCTACCCTTGGTACTGCGAATGAAGACCCGGGTTCCGGAACCTGATTTGGACAACCCGACGATTGAAGATATTATTCGCATGTATCACGCACCGAACACGCTGCCTGTTGTCAGGAAGAAAGCCGCCAATGTCATCGTTTCGATGAATGCAAATCCCGATGACCCTATCAATATGAAGGCGGCTGGCGTGATTGCTCCCTCTGCCGAGGAAACAGGAGCGGGAAGAACCGCCTCGCCTGGAGGCACATCCGCTACTACGCAGGAACGGATCAACCCCAAGTTCCCTGCACCGAGTGTTCGCACTGCTTCGAACCCACCTTCGAAATCAGCCCGCGACGAGAAATGGGCTCCTTCGATTGTGCGACCAACCCCTGGTCGGTTGATTACAAGTGCAGAGGCGCGGGGACGTCCACAACAGCGTGTTGTTGAGACTGCGGATACCGCACCTCCAGCCCCATCCGATTCCGCTTCGACTGAGCCACGATCTCGCACGATGGGCCCGGCCAAAGAAACAACGGCCAAAGGCAAATCCCGAACTGGCTCAAACGTGGCAGGCCTCATCGATGAAGCTGATGACACGAGGCAGCCGACGAAGGGCAAAGGAAGAGGGAAAGCCGAAAAAGGAAAAGGAAAGCAGGAGAAAGGCCGAGGAAAGGGTGATAAGGGAAACAAAGGAAGGGGCGGTCCCGGACGAGGAAACAAGGACCGTACCCGTAGCCCCACAACTCGTAGGTAACGACCGTCAACCTACGTGGCGACGTATTGTGCCACTGCAAGGTGAATCCGGATGAGTCTTTCTGACCCATGTTCCACACGTCAATCGGGTCACGCGGATTCTGATGGTGAAGCCCGGCTATGATACAATTTCCGCTACTTCCTCAGCCTTCCTTGCCTGCGCCACGCTGAGAAGACCCACAGGGGTACAATGGCTAGCCATGGTATTTTCCTCGTATGTCCCTCTCTTCTCACGGACACTCGATGCTGCCGAGTTCTCACTCTGAGCGCGTCGAGTCTAATATGTAAAACCCGCATAGATCCGATGGAACATCCGATTGCCAACGATCACACGGCAATTCGTTATGCGCCTGACGATCACAAAAGGCTGCGTTTGTACAGAAGTGAAACATAGGTATGATCCAGATGCAGAGACCGACCCACATCTAATGGTTCTTAATTGCTTCAAGCTTAGCTGACCGGAAGAGGTGTGGCTCGGTGCACAATCAGTGGATGTGACTCTCCTAAACTCCGCTCTTCTCACACGTGAGCTCGCGTCGAGGGGGGTGTGATTTGTCACTGACATGCGTATATGTGCTTCTGCATTCTGGTTAGGAATCAAGCCAACTTTGTCTCACTACGCAGCTTGACTGCTCAAGGACCGCATGCGCGAGTCCCAGCAAAAGATCCGATAGAGCCTGGGGGTTCTGGTGTTGTCTTTCGGCTGAGCGTCAATCTTGCGGTTTTAATCTCTGATTGTCCTGCTTTGCACCGCTTGCTTTGCTTTGATCTGCGATCGGCTGCCTTGGGCTTTGTGACCGAGAGTTGAGTGGAATCCTCCGCTTTTCACAGTGAGAAATAGCAAACCTTGCGAGCTTTTGCTGAAAGACTCTGAAAACCAATTCAATCAGTAGCTTCAAAATCAACTGGACGGCTCAGTTCTCTCTACTCTGGCAATCTCTAGCAATAAGCGGGGTCCTCCACTTTCGAACAAGAATTGCGCGACCTCCTCGTCCCTCCCACAAGAACTGGAGAAGTCGCCTTCTCCGTTGACAAGAAGCAACAGAGCTCCTCTAATCAAAGCTGAACGAATACAGTTCACAATTTCGAGCAGGTCCCCCTTTTGCGTAAAAGCGCAAGTGACAGTACGTGTCATCATTATGTCCTTTGCCGGGAATGTGTGTTTGAGTGTATTTGTATATCCATGAGCAAATATGTGGATATATACAGATAATATTCGCATGACTCCTTGCACGCATGTATGACTGCAGGTACTTATGTATGCTTGCCCGATGTAGGAGGCCTACCTCAATCAGAGAAACTCCAAGAAAATGAGAGACGACGTACTTTTTTTCGGAGGTGCGTGTCAGGTCTTGTATGCCTTGGTGGTGGGGCGGTTGAAAGTGCGACGGTTGGCAATCGAACGTGCTGCGAGGCATGATACATATGACTCGGGACATCCCCGTAGCAAGAAACAAACCACACACTCAAAAGGCCGCTGCTAATCCGCAACAAAAAGATACTCGAACGACTCTACGCAAGGCCTTCAATACGCCATTTCTCGAAACAGTCCAAAAAAGGCAGCTAACATGAGCGCGTTCCTCAAGATAGCACCGAAAAACCGAAAAAACAGCTGCCAAACAAATTTCTCGAGCTAGTCCCAGGACAACAACAAAAAAAGCATAAACTCAAATTGAGCTCGCTCCCGAGACAGTCCCAAAAAGCAGCACTAACACGCGAAAGGGATGTAGAGTGCGTGGCGAACAACACGTCGCGCACCATCACCATGCGGCCTGTGCATAAGTTGCTGGCCCAGGCGTTTCCTGTCCGACCTGCTCCTGGCAAGCATGACCAAGCAAGAGTTCCTTTCCAAACCTCAAAAACACCTGCCTGAAATCTGTCTTGTCCACTGATGGTCGTGGCGTGATCATCCCAAACGCTCGGCAGCTCGTACGATCCAGGCCCGATCTCAGCCAACAATAGGCTTGCAAGTTCAAGTCTAGTGTTGGACCTAGAAACACGGTATTGACAAGTGAGTGTGGCCACGTCCTGCAGCCCGGTCGCCCAAGATTCCGAGATGCAAGAAGGCTAGAAACAGGTTTGTAGTTGTGGCTGCAGGGGAAAGCACACATCTTGGCTAGAAAATATGTCGGCTGCGATTCATCCTCGGGTCATCACGGCACTTGTAGCTCTCCCCGCGACGAAGCGAGGCGACTTCTGCTTTGACCACATCATCAAGCGATCAGGTGAGCCTGGGCATGACACTTTTCCACGCTGCCACGCGCAACCCTACAAGCAGAAGGGCTTCCAGGCTTCCAGCCTGCACTGATCCAACTCTGCTTCCGGAGAAAGGCCACCCCTTGCCGAATCTCGTGCCAGTACTGCAGCGGGGGTGATTCCACATTCACCTCTACAACATCCCGTGAAGTAGCAGCTGCCGCATCATTCAGCACTCTCCCCTCGCAAAAAAAACTGTTGATGTCAGATGACATGACATGCTGCGCATGAGAAGTCGCAACGCAAAAACCAACTGTAAGCAAGATTAACTTCCCGAGTGCCATGGGCCAACATGCCAAGAGAGCCATGAAGACGATGATAAACGGCATTTTCAACAAGCCGAGACAGTCAATTTCATCATCACTCTGCGACCGTAAACACCTCCAGGCCGAAATAGAAGCCACAGAAGCATTGCAACGGAAAACTGGCAAGGTAGTGACGGAAATCATGGCCAGAGGTCGCATCGGCCCTCGCAACAGAAATCGTCTCACAAATTGGCGTGAGAAACCGTACACTTCAGCAACGGAAACGAAAGGATTTCTGGGCGACGATAAAGACACATAAAGACAAGGAAGTTCTAGTGGACATGGTTTCGACCAGACAACCTGAATTTACGTTGCGCTGCGAGCCCGGTTAGCATTCCATGCCGGTCTGGCTGCTCCGGATTCGCGGTTCCCCACGCACACGCACGCAAATAGCTTTACCAAGAACATGTCTGCACTCTCTCTCTCTCTCTCTCTCTCTTTCTCTCTGTGCCGCTGCATCCAGAGGGTCTAGCAGCGGAAGGCAACATGTCTGCATCTTGAAAATGATTCATAATTGCAACGTGCAGATTATCAAGCAGGTAAGACACATGCAAGTCGAAGTCACTGCAGCAAAGTGGTCACATCCACGCTCTTTCATCTCAATGCTTCCGCTTCCAGATGAGCGAGATCACGCACTTTGGCGTCACAAACACTTGTTGCCCTCATACTGCCGTACATGCAGAAGGCACCCTCAGGCCAATCCTGGAAAGTTTGACTTAGCAGCAAGAGTGGACCACTCGGCATGCCATACTGTCTCCTTCGCCCTGTGTCATTTGGACGGAGTTTGTAGTTCGAGCAGCCTGCAGGCTTCAAATCCACGTATGCAAAGCGAGCGCACTAAGAAAAGGAGAGCGACAGAGAGACAGAGACAGAGACACAGACACACACAGATACAGCACGGAGACACAGACAGAGACGCAGAGACCCACAGACACAGAGACCCAGAGACACAGAGACACAGAGACACAACGACACAGAGACACAGAGACACGGAGACACACAGACATAGAGACACAGAGACACGCAGAATCACGCAGACACACACAGACACACACAGAGGCACGCAGACACACACAGACACACACAGACACACACAGACACCGTAGGATTTCGACAAGAGGAACGAGAAAGGAAGGGTGGGGCGAGGTGTTGTTGTGAAACTAACCTGGACACCACAAGGGGCCTGTTCTGTTTCTCTAACCTTGGCACCACAGGGGGCTGCCTTGCAGGACAAAACGATGGAAATGCAGAAGAGCAAGACATTAGATAACGAGACATTCTGTTGCGTAAGCGTGCCAAACACCAGAAATGGCATGCAAAAAACTAAACACCAATGATCCGTTGGGGCAGGGTCAGACTCAAGGACTGGCACAGCAAATGACACGAAAAGTGCATCCCCCAGCTGCTGTTACTGGGACCCAGGGCTGATGCATGCAGGTACGTTTTCTTGGAGTGCAACTGGGATCTTCGTTGGACAAAGCCCTTCCGCACTCCCTCTGTCCACCTGCAACAATGAACGGAGTGACCCTCTGTTCCCATGTGCTGAAGAAGTTCACACACACACAGAGACACACACCGACACGAACACAGACACATATAGACACACACAGACGCACAGACACACGGACGCACAGACACACGCAGCCAGCCAGCCAGCCAGCCAGGCAGCTAGGCAGCCAGGCGGACAGAGAGCGGGAGCGGGAGCAGGAGCAGGAGCAGGAGTGGGAGGGGGGGGAGAGCAGGAGCACGAGCAAAAGCAGGGCAGGAGCAGGAGCAGGAGCAAAAGCAGGCAAGGAGGGAGGGAGGGAGGGACGGAGGGAGGGAGGGGCTTCCGCGTTTGGTTTTTAGAGCCACCAACGAATACTCTTCAACCGGCGCCTGGCAGCGCACTGTACATTTGCCTCGGCAAGAATCTTGCTTTGCAGGTTACGGTTTCTGCCCAAGTCGAGGTCCGGGCCTTGATGCTTCCATTTCGCGCTTCATCTCTGGCGGTAGAACTTGGTGAGAATGTGACAGCAAATCAACTACGTAAGCTTCCGCATGCTGCCACAATCCGATACGCACAAGTACATGTCAACTTCCGAAGGACGTTAGTCGTTGCTTGGCCTGCGCTGTGTGATTACAATGGCTCTCTTGGTGGCAAAGATTTTGTGGGAACAAGTAACAGCTTTCCAATACTCATCGGACACCCCGGCGCAGTTGTTGCAGAAGGCCGTTTTGACGTAGGATCACGTTCCTTCACCATCACGACGTTGGAAAGGCATCGGTTCCGTGAGAACCCTACCGTGCACGAACTTAGCATGACATGGGACGCTTTGGGCGCATGGGACGCAAGGTGTTTGGATGCACAACATGCCGCACAGAGCAATGGGATCAAGCCACCGGTACAAAAAGTGCACTCGGGCACACACACACACACACACACGCACACACGCACACACACACACACACGCACGCACTCGAACACCCAGGCTTCTGGCAATGTGCTCTCAAGAATGAAGTCAACTCAAGACTCAGCTCAGAAAACTCAGTTGAAATCACAAAAGGAAAGTCTTGTGATGGAGGTCTTGAATAGGCTGAGGTTACCTTACTCATGGTTTAGTAAAGAAAAAAGTCGCGGATCCTGAAGTGCACAGCGAGGATATCACACGATGTCAACCATGTATTCTGCAGGTACACGAGTCAGCGTCCTGACTCGCTTCACAGATGCAACGCTGGCGTCTTCGTTGGTGCCAATCCAGCATGCATCACTGTTGATTGAAACCGCAGCGTGCACTGTAGACGAAGAAGCGGTATAGCTAGAGGACCCGTTGCATTTTGGGGTTCCCACACACACAAACTTCAACGGAGGGCTGACTTGGCAATCCAAGGAAAAGAAAAACACAAAAGCCCTTAATTGGTGTATATCCAAAGGCACAGTTCTGAGGTCGCTTGTTTTTGACTGCGGCGTTGTCTTCTTGCTCATCTCTGCTGTGTACTGTCGTCTTTCTAGTCTTCTGCGTGAAACCAGCAAAGATGCGGCTGATGCCATTGATGTTGGTCTTCTTCTTGTTGTGTAGGAGACGTGCTGGCATCTTTGTACTCGGTGTACATGATAGTCACATCGTGCCTCTTCACATCTGCTGCAGCTTGAATTGCACCGCACTCCTCCGAACATGTACCTCGTAGAGGTCCGAAGCCTTCCGACAGTGTGCTCTGCTAGCTCCATCAGCTGAATGATGAGCTGGGCTTTGGTGAACTTGCCATCTTCGAGGATCTGCTGGAACTGTTGCAGGTGTTGGTCCAGGGCTGCTTGCTTGTCGACCGGTAGGTGCTTCTTGACGTTGGTGCACCACGTCTTGAGGGAGGTCATGCTCGTGGGAGGGTCTTGTCCGCTTTGCTTGATGACGTTGAAGGGCTCCGCGAGCATCTCTTGGTAGCGCTTCTTGGCATCTTCTCACTGGCGGCGGCGGCATTCTGTGGCGGATCGAGCTTCGGGGCCTGTTGGCTTGCTCGTTGCGGGTCTGGCTGCGACGAAGATGCTGCATTGGGGCTGCCGGCTTGGATGGGCAGCGTCTTCTTCGGTGTCACCTGTAGTCCTGCACTCCGGGGGCATTATTTGTACTTGGCCGCTTCTTCTTCGAGTTCTTGCACTTGCATCCTCTGCGCAGCTTGGTTGTCCATCTCGTGATTCTTTACGCCGTAATTCTTCACCTGGGCCGCTGGGCCCACGGCTTAATGGCTTTGAAGAACTCGTCGACGAGTGGTGTGACGTAGCTTGCTGCTTCTTTGACTTTGTCTGGTGCTTTCATGTTCGCGTCAATAGTGGAGTCGACGTCGATGTTGTCCTCGCGGAGTTTCTTTTGTATCTGCGACAGTAGGACAGTCTCTGCAACGCTGCGGGTGAGAATAAGTCCTGTGAACCGACCATACCAATCTACTTGAAGGATCGTGTTGTTTAGTATCCGAATGGGCGGGTTGCGGTGGTTAGTAAAGCCTGCAAGTGAACTTATAATCGGGCTATCTTGACTTATAAGTGTACCATGTTGGGTAAGTGTGTTTTTGAACTTAGTAAGTGAGCGAGGGTGGTTATAAGTAGTTGTTTGAGTTAATAAGCACTTAGCACATTTATAATTGACTTGGGACAAATGCTGTAAGTGGAAGATAAGTACTTGGACACGGTTATATCGGTTATCTAAGTCATTTATAAGTACTTATATAAGTACCCTAACTTCATCGGGGCAAAGCATTTGCAGGTCGGTGCAGCTGGTGGTTGCCGACGTCGACGGCATCGAAAGGTGCTTCCGCCCCCCGCTTCTTTGCAAGTGATGAGTTCAGTGTTCCGAGCATGTTTGGCCATGTCGAGACTCCCATCATGAGAGACATGCAGTGATGCTTGCAGCTTTCATGCAGTGTTTGCATGTATGTGTATACACTTGCAGTCTTTGCATCACGTGTACATGCAGTGGTATACGATGCCCTGCATGTGTATATAGGAAGTCGTCGTGCAGGGCAATTTGCTCGCCGGCAGGCTGTCACGACATTCTTGCATGACTTTCAAACTGACAGTTCATATCTGCATGCAGCATCTTGGCTGTGACAGCACTCACTGCACACACACACCGACCGCTTCCGAAACACAGCATGGCTTTGTCTGCTGATCTCGTTGCGGACATCTCGTTCAAGCTGCAACAGGTGCAAGAAGGCGATCGACTTGTAAAGACGGTGCATGCGGCTATCAGCCAGCTTGAGTCGCAGGGCCACGTCTACACGATGCAGCTTCAACCGACCATGGTCGGGATCAGTTCCCAGAACCGCGAAGGGAGCGGGATTAATCCCGTAGATGTCCACGATCTTCTGGGCGACATAGTTCAAGCCGGCTGGCTTGATGCCAGGGTCCAGGCCATCGCCCATGAGCCAACTGGGCAAGAGGACATCGATTGGAATGTCCGTCTCTTCCAAAGCATGCATGATCGCTGTGGGCCCCTGGAGCCCACGATATCCCACGATGATCAAAGCACTCTCCCTGGCAGGGTCACACACAAACTCGGTCTTGCGGTGCTTCCACTATGAGGTCATGCATGAAGGAGACGAGACCGTGTGTCATGATGGAAGACTCAGCATGGAGCTGCTTCGGAAGCACGATCCGGACTTCGCGAGGGCGGTTCGCGAAGGAGTCGTTTGGAAGATCTTGTCAAAGCACGTCGCTGCCCAGCTGCCGCAGCTGTTGGGACTTGTCCAAAGGATGGGAAACGCCACACTTCAACGTGGCGAACACGAGCTCCAACTGATGAGACGGCTGCATCAGACTTGGGTCCAGATGAGCTCTCAGGGTTCTGTGGACTTCCTGGCACTGAAGAGCAAAGTCACCACGGGGAAGTCCGCGCATGGCAAGTCCATGCCGCATCTTTACAGTTTCGTGTTGAAGACTGCGGGTGGCACAGATCCGTTCTTGCTCAACGAGACTGAAACCTTCGTTAGGTTGCATTCCCCCAGCACACGTTCATTGGGACCTGGTTTCTGGGAGAAGGTCAGTGCCGATGTCAAAGGTTCCAACCAATTCCCACGGTTCCGGCATGCCATGGCCACTTGATTCATAAGCATGCATGCATGTACAGGTCACATATGGGATTGCAAGGCCGAGGTTGCTAGTTGTTGTTGTTGTTGCTGCTGCTCTTAGGTGAAGCTTGCACACTGCAAAGAAGCTGTGGGGTCTGCCGAGTGCAAGAAGATGTTGCACAAGGATTCAACGGCCTCTGTCAAGGAGGCAGACACCATCATGAGCACGTGGCGAAAGCTTGTGACGGCCCTGCCGAATGGTGCAGAGCTTCTCATGAAACCCGAAGTGCAGACCTGCTTGTCCTATGGGGACATGTCCTTGGCTGCCTTCACCCTGAATGTGATGTTGCCCGGTGAAGACTTGAAGAAGTATAAGACAAGCCAATCCCTCGCCCATGACCTCGTCCTGATTTTGGAAGGCATCCTCAAAACAGACCTGAATGGGCCCTGGGCGGCACACAAGGTCGTAGATTCGGGTGAGGCATCGGGTTCCAAACAGGTGGCAGCACCCAAGGCCATCATGAGGGAGCTGAGCTCCGACGGCTCGGTGAAGGATTCAGCGCAGATGCTGGCCGAGTCCGGCTTTTCAGTCGGCCAACATGTCCGTCGCAAGGCGGATCAGGAAACTGGCCAGGTCATGGCGATGGAGCTTGGCCGTGTCAAGCTGAAGCAGCCCTCGGGCTCCGTAGTGCGGGTGTCGATCGACAGCTTTCTCGCAGGGGACTGGCAGGTCTTCACACCGAAGCCGGAGCCCCAGACGGTGAATGACTTGTCGGTGTATTCGCCTTTGAACTTCCCCGAATACGAGCGACAGATGCTGTTGGCATGCTTGCACATGGACATGCATGAGCTCATGCAAAAGCACAGCACGAATCCCATGCTGCAGAAGCTCATGGTCACTTTGAAGCCTCGTAAGTCAGTCCAAGCCACGGCATTCATCCCGAAAAACAAGCTCATCATGGTCCCCATGGGTTTGACGATCAAGCACGGTCACAAGAAGCCCGAGGATGCGATTTTCGATATCATCACCCCCATGAGTGACTACTTCTTCTGGATTGTTTCGTTCACTCAGATTCCGAAAGCCGAAGGGGATGCTGGCTTCATCAATCCTGCATTCCTTGTGCAGCCGCTTCTTTTGAGTGACACTTGGAATTGCGAGGTTTCGCATGTCAAGTCCAATCGAGACAAGAAGGTTCAACTCCCCATCCTGAAGAACACCCTGGACCTGCAGCAGGACGATGTGCTCTATATGCCAAAGGCCGAGAAGACGGTGCACGTCGAGGCATTGCAGGCTGAGACCCCGCCAAGGAAGCGAATCTGCTCCAAGAAGCCGGGAGACTCCTGAAGCCCATGTGATGCATGTCATGCCATTTGAGCTCACGGGCACTTCCTCCATTGCTTTGCAGCTGTGCTGCTCATGAAAGAACATGCACTTGCAGCCTGCAGGAAAGATGCCCGA